TACTGGGATCCGAACTGAATAACATACACTTAAATCCCACTAATAGTTTGCTAAAGTGGTCTGCTGAGCTGGGATGTGAAGTGCAGTATCCACAGTTTACCTCCCTGGAGAGCTCCCGGTCTTTACAGTTTCCAGCTCTCCTTCTCTTCCTCAGAATATGGCTGAAACCTTTGCTTTGCAAGTAAAAAAACATAATACACGGGGGAGTCTTGCTGAGATTTTCCCTGGATCCATGCAGGATTTGCTGTGAAAAACTTTGATATCCCATTAAAAAAAAAAGACAAGTTCTGTAACACAGTCATAACACTGCATGGGCTTAAATAAACAGTCCTTAAAAAACATGCGGATTACCAGGGGAATACTGGGCTTTGCAGCATCAAGTCTCACGGGTAGGAAGAGTCCTGATCCCCAAAACCAAAAGATTATGGTTACTGACAAACTTCGGTGATTAGAAACACGCTGCCCCTATTTTCTTCTTCTTTTCCTTTGATCCAACCCAGGGACTCCCAACTATCAATCAATTTTTTTTAATGCGTTTTGAAGATTTTTTTTTTTAATGGTTACTTTTTTTTTTAAAGGGTGGTACCTATATGTGTTTAAGGGAAACAAGTGCAATCCATTTCTAGTCTTAATTGCCATTTAAAGTGTCGGTATTTGCATGCAGCAGTTTTACACGGATGGATTGGTCTGACTGCTTCATGATGTCTGCAGCATGTCATCCTGTATAGCTTTGCTCAGAGCCACACAAGTGGTGATATAATCAGGTGGCTCCATCCATGTCAGCTACAGTTTGCATCATGGACCAAGGTACCTGGCTGGGGAAGGCCCTGTGGGCTCTCTGTCCCTTCGTCTGCCATGCTCTTTGCACAGGCATGTTTCCTCTGAAGGGAGGATTCCTCAGGCACTCGAGAGTATCATCTCAAACACCAGCCCCACCATGCACTAGCAGACAGTGCCTGGAGCTGTGCACCCCATGGCAGGGGACCTGGGAGGTCTGGCTCCTTCCAGCACGCGTGAGGAGAACTCCTAATCCCTGGCCATTTTCTCCAGGCAGCTGCTGCCAGCTCCTGCCAGGGGGCTCGGTGACCAGGGACTTCTCTGTCCTGCCTCTTCTGTGTGCTCCACACAAGGGCCTGGTTGTCACCTGGCCTTGAGCATCACAAATCAAGCGTTGCAACGATATGAAGATCTGTTCAATACAACAACAGCACACGATGGTGGTGCTTGAAGGCAGATTTTCATATTAATATAGGATTATTTAGCTGGTTAAAAATCTCTGCAACTAACATGAAAGGGGTCAGGATGTGACTAGTTATTTTACATTCTACTGTCAAGCAACATCTGGCATACTCAATGCTGAATGGGGAACAGGGACAGAAGAGTCCTTTTTTCTTAAGCAAACATTCAGGAGTAACTTTGTCTATTTTTGCACATTGCTTCTTGTGTTGACAGCTTCAGTTTGGTTTGTATTTTTTATACAGTTTTTTCATGAAAAGCTCAACTTTGTGTGTGTCCTAACATATATGTGAACCATAGCGTGCACTAAGGAATGTATGTGTACATGTATAACTCTAGATGAAGATGTTATCTCTGGAACAAAAGTAATTGCATGCGCACAGTGTGGTGCATATTACTCAAGAGGAAGAGAATTACCACGCTATGTAACAGTGACTCCCCAGCATTGTGGTTTTTCTAAATAAATCTTCATAAAGGATTTGGCTTTTGCAATTTCTCATGGGTTTGTGCCTTGAATCAAACCTCCGTTGATGCTCTGAGATCAGATTAAGCGGCTTTCTCCACTGTGGCTCTTGCAGCTTTCACTCGTCTGGATTATCTGCCAGGTTTCACCTTCTCTTCCCCCCACATTACATGCACTGGGCTGAAGCTTTGTGAATGATGGTCGGGTGCTCAGAACCAGGATTGGGAGCAGAGAAACCTGCACATGAAAAGCCATGATATTTTCAGGAGTGACTAGGTACCAGCTCTCAGCAGCTGCAATGCAAGTTTAGATACATAAAATACTGGTTCCTGTCCTTAGACAGCTACATACCCTAAGAATCTGGCCCAGGTGCCCAACCTGCTTTTGGGAACTTAGATGCTTTTGAAAATTATGACCCGTACCCCAAGACTAGATTGTATTACTAGCGTTCTTTTATATTTTTTTAAATACATGCCATAGCTCTAAAAATAAGTACACACTGAAAAACGAAGACGACTGAAAAGCAGGACCCCTGTTCTACAATACTTAATATTTTCTTCAGCTCTGGTTTCAATTTTTACAGCTCTGAAATTATGTGACAAAGCAATAATAGATCTCTGCAGGCCACTGATCCTTTTTGAAGTAAAAAATGAGTGTACTTTATAAAAGACTGCTGCCATTAGAGCTGCAAAGACTAGATTTCATGTTTTCCTCATCACTAACTCAGGGAAGATAGAGATTTCACTGTTTTGCGAAATTTAGAATCCAATTCAACTGTGTGCAGTTGTATGCATAAAATCCCTATTGTCTGATCAGGATCTTGCATCCAAAACATAGCAGAAGCACTATATCAAATTACCCCTCCTCAGCTAGCTTCTACTCAGAAAGCCTGCAAAATGGGCTTTCTGTGAGCAGCAGGTAGAGACACACGTACTCCCCGCCCTCTCGTCTCCGCACAGTGCCTCAGCAATTTTCCATATGACGCCTCATTAGAATTCGACGCTGAGAACATATACTGATTTCTTCCAGGCTATACACAGCTCTAAGCTTCAAGGAAATCAAGTGCGTCGTAGAGCGCCTAAAGGCATAGACTGCGTTAATGAAATGGTTAAACTGACCCTTAGAGCCTACACTGTACATTAAAACACTGTGCAAAATACACGTAACTACACATGCATAAGGACAGTTAAAAAAGAAACCTCAGAACATCTCTCCACAAACAATGTGCTCTCTGCAATCCCAGGGAAGTTCACAGTTTACCCACAGAGAAACAAAACATCTTGCCTACCCATTTAAAGACTGCCTTTACTTACGTCAATACTTTGACTCTGAAATCTCGCAGTCTCTTTTCTACTTTTCCTCTCTTGCATGCCAAAAAATGGATGAGACTCTTCAAGAAAATGAGGAAATCTCAGTGAAAGAAGAGGAGGTATCTGTCCCAGTATGTGGTTCTGCTGGGATGTGCAGAGCCTAACATCAGAGGGAGTGTTCATGGGAACTATGCAGCACAATTCCCAGATCCTCAGTCGTAAGGGAATCAGAGAATACAGCTGCAGAGAAGCTCATGAGGTCACACACTCCATTTCCTATCTCCAAGATAGGGTTTTATTTCTACATACTTCACAGCTTTTGCAAAAAGACTGGTTTTTGTCCTGCATCCCTTTCATTCCAGGGGTTGCGTGAAGTTCCTTGGGATTTTGACTATAAATGCAATATATGCCAAGCAACACAGATACAGTATCCCACCTTCTCACTCTGAACCTTTATTTTAGGAATCAGCTTCTTTCCTTGCACCCGTTTCTTTTCAGAATGAAAATTTCATGTACGAACAGTTGAAAAATAACTCATTTACAAAAAGGGGATCAATACCATTCTTACAGTCTCTGAGCATGCATCTTCATATCTTTCCTATTCCAATCTGTTCACTCCTCTCTCAAGCCTGAGCAACAGCAGTGCAAACCCCAGGT